AGCTGGGATTACAGGCACATGCCACCATGCCCAGCTGAATTTTTGTATTTTTAGTAGAGACGGGGTTTCACCATGTTGACCAGGATGGTCTCGATCTCTTGACCTCGTGATCCACCCACCTCGGCCTCCCAAAGTGCTGGGATTACAGGCGTGAGCCACCGCGCCCGGCCGACCTTAATTGATTTCATCATTGAAACTGGTGCTAAACTCTTTGGACTCATTTAAATATTGGATTCATAATGCAACAAACATTTATTCAAAATCTGCTATGGCTCAGGTCCTCCATGCATGCTAAGGTTTAAGGGCACAGGCACATAAGTCATCAAATAGCATATTTATTCACTCAGCAAGTGTTCCTTGAGAGCTTTCTGTGTGCCAAGTACTATGTGAGATTTATAGTCTAGAGGGAGGGAGGAAGAACAATAACAACAGTAAATGAGTTAATAATCATACAAGGTGATAGTATTGTAATAGTTGTTTGAGTCTATAGAGTTATAAAAGCAAAAGAAAATAACTCTCATGACTTGCTATGCTATGAAGCTAATGTCTGAACAAATACCACATAGAATGTAGTATTCCTGAAAACCAAATTCTTTATATACATAATTTTAGAAAATATTTTTAAATAAGTCATTTTAGAACGGTGTAATATTAATACTTTGCATTTATACCACTCAAAAATTTTTGCTGGGCACAGCAGCGTGGACCTCTAGCCTCAGCTTCTCAGGGAGCAGATGTGGGAGGAGCTCTTGAGCCCAGGAGTTCAAGGCTGCAGCACACTATGATTGTGCCTGTGAATAGCCACTGCACTCCAGCCTAGGCAGCATGGCAAGACCCTGTCCTTTAAAAATAAATTTTAAAATAAAAAAAGTTTTAAATCTTCACAAGGCATTGTAATGGTTAAATATCATTTATTACTTAACAATTATTCAGCACTTATAAGCTAGCAATTTACCCTAATTCATATGGTTCTGAAATAATAGAACCCAAGTTTGAACCCAGCCTGATTCCAAATCCACACTAGTTTTCCTCCATAGTAGAGAGAAGAAGAAGAAAATATGTGAAGGAGAAAAATAATCCCATAAACATGAGGAATTGCTGGGCATGGCGGCTCATACCTGTAATCTCAGCACTTTGGGAGGCTGAGACGGGCGGACCACCTGAAGTTGGGAGTGCAAGACCAGTCAGACCAACATGGAGAAACCCCATCTCTACTAAAAATACAAAATTAGCCAGGCATGGTGGCATGCCTGTAAGCCCAGCTACTCAAGAGGCTGAGGCAGGAGAATCACTTGAACCCAGGAGGTGGAGGGTGTGGTGAGCTGAGATCATTGCACTCCAGCCTGGGCGACAAGAACAAAACTTTGTCTCAAAACAAAAACAACAACAACAACAACAACAAAAGTGAGGAATTGAGCATTTCTGTGGAAGAGGAATGAAATCAGGACGTATCAAGTCAGGACAATAGAAGCCACTCTTTCAATCCAAGGGAATTTAATTCAGGAAATAGATTACAAAAGTGGGAGAAGAGCTGAGATGCCAAACGAGGTGGTGATGTAACCCAGAGATTATCGACAGCAAGAATCAGCTAACACCCATGGGCTGGAGGGACAGTAGGAAGAGATGCTATTCTCAGAGCCAAAAAGCTAAGATTGTCTGGCTGGAAACAGAACTATTTTAGAGGCTCCCTTGCGGGGTCTGAACCATGGAGGGAGGGCCTTTCAGAGGGAGTTAGAGCTTTGAAGGAGACTCTACTGCTGTGGAAGACATCACAGGAAGCACAGAGAGGCAGGAGAAGAAATACCCATCCACTCATGCCTGTCCCCAGCAGAATATACAAAACTCACAGAGCAAGGAATCCTGCAAACTAAAGTTTCCCACAATGCAGAATGGGGCAGGGTGAGGAATCACACTAGGCAGTTGACAGGCCCAGAGCTTCCAGGAAATATTTATGTAATTTATGTAATGTAGTTTATGTAGCCACTTACCCTATCAGTAATATGCTTTTTTTCAACACTGTAGGTCTTACTTATTGGTGTTAAAAACAAAAAACAAAAAAACAGAGGGCCAGGCACAGTGGCTCATGTCTGTAATCCCAGCACTTTGGGAGGCTGAGGCAGAAGGATGGCTTGAGCCCAGGAGCTTGAGACCAGCCTGGACAACATAGCAAGATCCTCTCTCTATTTCAAATAAAAAATTTTTTTTTTTTTTTTTTTTTTTTTGAGACGGAGTTTCGCTCTTGTTACCCAGGCTGGAGTGCAATGGTGCGATCTCGGCTCACCGCAACCTCCACCTCCTGGGCTCAGGCAATTCTCCTGCCTCAGCCTCCTGAGTAGCTAGGATTACAGGCACACGCCACCATGCCCAGCTGAATTTTTGTATTTTTAGCAGAGACGGGGTTTCACCATGTTGACCAGGATGGTCTCGATCTCTTGACCTCGTGATCCACCCGCCTCGACCTCCCAAAGTGCTGGGATTACAGGCTTGAGCCACCGCGCCCAGCCTAAAAAAAATTTTTTTTTTTGAGAGACAGGGTTTCACCATGTTAGTCAGGCTGGTCTTGAACTCCTGACCTCAAATGATCCACCCACCTTGGCCTCCCAAAGTGCTGGGATTATAGGCATGAGCCGCCGTACCCGACCCTAAATGTTTTTAAAAAGTGAACAAACAGGCCTTGCTGAGCTCCGCCCAGTTTCTTACCATTAGAGCACACCCTTTTTGCCTTATCACATTTCTCCACTATGGTCCACTCTTCATTAAGCCTACTATAAACAGTGCACATATTTGACTGCTTCTTTGGGTCTTCACTTCCTTATGAAGCTTCCCATGTCATGTAAAACTTAAATGTTTGTTAATCTCTCTTTTGTGCTAAGAATCAGAAAGAGTAGAGGAAAAAGTATTTTGTTCCTTCCTTACACAATTCTATGGGACAGATATTGGCATGTCCATTTTAAAGGATGAAACTCAGAGAGTGAATGACATACCCAAAGCTCAGAAATGGTGATTGACCAAGTAAAACTCAATCCTTTTGTAGTTCATGAGCATGATGAATTGGTGTTCATGCCTAAGTATGATACGTGCCTCCCTCTGAACCTTGCTACAACATTAGCACATCACCTGTCTAACCTAAAGAACAACAACAAAACTCAGTCCTAGTTTTTCTGATCATAAGTATAGTGCCCTTGTCACCTCAACACAACCACCTCCCTCATAAGAAGCTTCTGTATTCCCTTCCCTACTGGGAAGCCACTGATAAAGTTGAGTAAACTTTATCTTGTATTATTCCAGCCATCTGCCTTATGATTTTGGTATAAACCTTAAGGCTTTATCAAGGAAAAAAATCACTGTAACTTTTTCTGCTCTTTTTAAATTTTTTATTTGTTTGAGACAGAGTCTTGCTCTGTTGCTCAGGCTGGAGTGCAGTGGAGCGATCTCTGCTCACTGCAACCTCCGCTTCCCAGGTTCAAGTGATTTTCTTGCCTCAGCCTCCTGAGTAGCTGAGATTACAGGCACGCGCCACCACACCTGGCTAATCTTTATGTTCTTAGTAGAGACGGGGTTACACCATGTTGGCCAGGCTGATCTCAAACTCTTGACCTCATGATCCGCCCGCCTCAGCCTCCCAAAGTGCTGGGATTACAGGCGTGAGCCACCATGCCTGGTCCTTTTCTGCTCATCTTTACCAAAACATTGAAATGTGATTCCAAGGCGAGGTGTGGTGGCTCCCACCTGTAATCCCAGCACTTTGGGAGGCTGAGGCAAGCAGATTGCTTGAGCTCATGAGTTCAAGACCAGCCTGAGCAATAGGGTGAAATCCCCTCTCTACAGAAAAATATAAGAATTAGCCAGGCATGGTGCTGCACACCTGTGGTCCCAGCTACTCAGAAGGCTGAGGCATGAGAATCACTTGAACCCAGGAGGTGGAGGATGCAGTGAGCAAGATCATGCCACTGCACTCCAGTGACAAGAATAAGACTCTGTCTCAAAAAGAAAAAAAGAAAAAGAAAAGAAGCCAGATGCAAAACAGTACATATTGTATTATTTCATTTTTATAAATATAAAAACAGGCAGAAGAACTCTATAGTGTTAAAATCACAAGGGCACAGGTGGGTTTCTGGTGACATTCTATTTTTTAATCTATATACTGGTTACAGGGGTATGACCAGTTTTTGAAAATTCATTGAACTAGACACTTGCAATTTGTGCACTTTTCTGTATATATGTAATACTTTAATAAACAGGGTTTTTGTGGGTTATTTTGAGACAGAGTCTCGCTCTGTCACCCAGTCTGGAGTGCAGTGGTGCGATCTTGGCTCACTGCAGCCTCCGCCTCCTGTGTTCAAGAGATTCTCCTGCCTCGGCCTCCTGAGTAGCTGGGACTATAGGCATGTACCACCACACCCAGCTAATTTTTATATTTTCAATAGAGACAGGATTTCATCATGTTGGCCAGGATGGTCTCCATCTCCTGACCTCATGATCCACCTGCCTCGGCCTCCTAAAGTGCTGGGATTACAGGTGTGAGCCACCGCGCCTGGCCAACAGGGTTTTTAAGAGTAGCATAAGTTGCTTAGAAAAACTTTCCAAGACAGATGCTTTGAATTTATATTTTCTCCTATGTGCTGCAGGCAGCTGGAGTGAAGTGTGAAAGGCTCACTCTTGACATTTGGGCCCTTCATTCCCCCTTTATTCATCCATCGAACACATATTTATTGAAGAATGGTGTCAGCCACTCGGAGGCAGAGTCCCTGTCCTCATGCAGAGTACAGCCTGTGTAGACAGGCAGGAGACAGACGTTGATCAAATAGTCATCCAAACACATTATCAGAGATGGTGAGAGAAAGGGGGGTGCTGAGAGGCCTCTCTCAGGCCTAAAGGGTGAGTAGTCTCTGCCAGTAGAGGATATTACAAAGGGGACCGTCGTCTAGTGGCTTTTAAACGTTAGGCTTAACTAGTCCAGTAGAGGGCAACCACAGACAGGCATTTGTGGCAATTCCTAATACATCAGGAAAGCTGAAGGCTGAAGTTTTGCTTACCATCATCTCTCATTGATGGTGTTGAAGCAGCGCAAATTGCTCAACAGAAACTAAGAAGCCAAGTGTAAATTTACAAACGTCAATGTTGCTGTCTAGCACTGCCCAGCAGCATGATTCAAATTCCTACCAAATACCTAGTGACCTTAAAAAAGAAAATAAAATTAATAAGGCACGATTAAAGAAATCTTAGCAGTAATCGCGCGTCAGATAAACCTCATTGGCTACAATACTGTCACTGTGCAAAGCTACGATTAAAGAAATCTAAATAAAAGCCCTTTTCTTGATTTACACACATCCTCAAAGAGCTGCCTCAAGCACAGATACACACATGTGACTTTTTCTTATTTATTAGTACCCCACACACACACCACACACACAACCTTCTCATATCTGCTGTAATCCACATCCCCAATGGAAAGCATTTTACTTTTTATTTGCTTCATGGTATTACTGGTTTTAGGTAGCTGATTAGCAAATATAATTTTATATGTTGCCTATAGATATAAGGCAAAAACAATCAATAATTTCCCACATCCCATTAAATGACCAGGGATGTAATCAGGAATAAAAACCAAGACATTTCCAGTGTACTTAAGGGTAGATTTCTTTAACATCTGCTATATATCAGCACTAGCAACAATCTAAGGCATGTCACTTCCTTCCTTTAAAATTAATTCCCACTGCAGGCAGGGTGCAGTGCCTAATGCCTGTAATCCCAGCACTTTGGAGGCCAAGGTGGGTAGATCACCTGAGGTCTGAAGTCTGAAACCAGCCTGGCCATTATGATGAAATGGTGTTCATGCCCATCTATACTAAAAATACAAAAATTAGCCAGGCATGGTAGCACATACCTGTAATCCCAACTACGTGGAGGCTGAGGCACGAGAATCACTTGAACCCAGGAGGTAGAAGTTGCAGTGAACTGAGATCGTACCACTGCACTCCAGCTTGGATGACAGAGCGAGACTCTGTCAAAAAATAAATAAATTCCCAGTGCAATTAAAATTTTTCAGTTTTTTTTTTTAAATGAAAGCAATTCTCTGACAAGTAAAGGCCTGTATGGTCTAGCCACTGCCCATCTCCCAGACTCATCTCCTTTCCTCCTCGTTATGTTTCAGACTTTGTTTCCACAGAATCACCATTTTCCATATGCTGTTTCCCTTGCCTGAAACATTCTGCTCCCATCATCTAACCAGAGGCTTCTTGTCATTCAAGATCCAGATTGTTACTTCCTAAGAAAAGACCTTTTAGCCTACCCATTCCTGTCTCCCTTCCCAACATGCAAACCAGAACCCTGATTTTTGACTGGAATATTATTATTATTTTTTTTTTTTTGGAGACAGAGTCTCACTCTCTTGCCCAGGCTGGAGTGCAGTGATGTGATCTCAGCTGACTGCAACCTCCACCTCCTGGTTTCAAGCAATTTTCCTGCCTCAGCCTCTGAGTAGCTGGGATTACAGGCGCGCACAACAACACCCAGCTAATTTTTGTATTTTTAGTAGAGACCAGGTTTTACCATGTTAGCCAGGCTGATCTCAAACTCCTGGCCTGAGGTGATCCACCTGCCTTGGCCTCCCAAAGTGCTGGGATTACAGGCTTGAGCCATTGCACCTGGCCTAGCTGGAAGCTTTTCTGCCCAGTATATGCAGTATATTAGTCTGTATTTCTCAGCTCACTAGCAGCAGGATGTGGCCATGTTTCTGTAAGTGGATATGTTCAGTGGGTCTTCCTAGAAGCTTCCTTAAAGGGAAGCAGACAGGCCAAAGGAGGTAGCTCATGCCTATAATGCCAGCACTTTGGGAGGCGGAGGCAGAAGGATCACTTGAGGCCAGGAGTTTGAGGCCAGCCTGGGCAACATAGTAAGACCCCATCTTTACAAAATATAATTTTTTTTTTAATTAGTCAAATGTGGTAGTTCACACCTGTAGTCCCAGCTACTTGGGAGGTCGAGGCGGAAGGATGGCTTGAGCCCAGGAGTTCAATGATACAGTGAGTGAGCTATGATTGCCTCACTGCACTCCAGCCTGGGCAACAGAGTGAGAACTCGTCTCAAAAAAAAGGGAAGCAAAGAGCTCTTCTTCCAGCTTTCCCCTCGAATGCAGATGTGATCACTGGAGCTCCTGAAAACACCCTGGATGCTGAGAAGGCAGTGAGGACGGGAGGGAGAGCAGGTAGGGGCCTGGCTAGTAGCACTGTGGGATGTGGGTGGAGTGTGCAATACCAACCTCTAGATAACTTTGATGTCAGAAAAACAAACAAGTTCCTATCTAATGAAAGCACTGTCATTTGCAGCTTGGCTAATACATACCGCCAGACCTCAGTACTAACTAAAAATACCACGACGATCCCCAGACACATCACCTTATTTCTTCAGTGTCATTTCACTACTGGAAACACCTGGATCATTGTGTTTATCTGAGGGTAGGGATCAGGTCTGTCTTATTCATCGCTGTGACCCCAGCACCTGCTGGTGTGATGTTTCCACACCTTCCCAGAATTTCTCAGGAAATTGATACTTGTCTCAATCCCAAGAAAAAACAGTTTAAAATGCAGGGGAAAGTATTCTAATTCTTCCTACAAGAAATAAACTGTGGCTGGGCGTGTTGGCTCACGCTTGTAATCCCAGCACTTTGGGATGCTGAGGCGGGTGGATCATGAGGTCAGGAGTTCGAGACCAGCCTGGCTAACATAGTGAAACCTGGTCTCTACTAAAAATACAACAATTAGGTGGGCGTGGTGGCACATGCCTGTAGTCCCAGCTACTCGGCAGACTGAGGCAGGAGAATCACTTGAACCCAGGAGGCGGAGGTTGCAGTGAGCCAAGATCGTGCCACTGCACTCCAGCATGGGTAACAGAGTGAGACTTCATCTAAAAAAAAAAAAAAAAAGCGAAAGAAAGAAAAAACAAATCAGGTTGATGTGCCTCCTCAGAAAAAAAAAAAAAAGAAAGAAATTGTAATGCTCTTCGTGGAAATGTTACTGGTCAGAATTCCATCAATATCAACAGCTAGTGATGGTGCAGCAGTAATGAAAAAAATTGGAAAGTTTTCAGCAAATGTCGTTCTTCTCCTTGCTGTAACAAAAGTGTCTT